GGTTGGCCCTCATCACCCTGTCCAGCCTGTGGCTGGCACACAGGAGGCCCACTCAGTGCTCTGGCTGAATGAAAGTCAACTCTATGACAATAGGCTTTGCGGGGAGATGAGAAACTTAACTCTAGTTGGGCTAGAATTTTGTGGCAATAGATTGCTCCCATTGTTATGTAACTGCTGATATGACCCAGATGAATTTGAGAACTAGCATGAGATACATGCCTCCCTCAGAAATGCAACCTGAAAGGAAGAGAAAACATTTAAAAATAAGCATCATCAAGTGCTGTAAATGATTGGTTCAGAGTTGGTGCAGATCTTTTTTGTTTTTCACCCAAATTTATTCTGTCTTGTTAGTTGAAATCAGTTCAGTTATTTGAGTGTTTTTCCCAAAAGGGCAAAACAAAAATTGTCTTATGTTTTTCTTTTCATGACAGTGGATGTCACCCAGTTTTAGTTGGAGACATTGTGGCTTTTAACTTCTCTTAATCCTTGGACAAGGCAAAAGGATCCAGAGAGCTTCTGATTTACACATTCAGTGAGAAACAGCCTTCCAATTCTTATAGCCTTTTACACATTCCATTTTTCAATTTTATCTATTGGAATGTGAAATTTCAGCCTTTTTATAAATTGCCTATTAATATTTAATTTCTTACATCATTGTATTGTTACCAGATAACCACAATTGCTACATGGAACAATAACAGAAGATGCATTAACTATCAACTGAGGAGGACACAAATAGATAGCAAAGGTAATATACGTGAAAAATAGTCTGCCAAGCAACGTCAGCCTCAATGAGCATGAATTTACAGTCGCGTACAGTAGCCACAATGGTTCTCATTGTTGATTCATCCTCTGATTACTCTGTTTGCACTGCAGACAAAATAGTCTAAATGAACACCAAGATAATAAGTGAACTATCTATCATCTCTTTTATTTTTATCCCAAGATAGGAGAATTGGCAGAAAGAGAACAGTAAATGGAGATTCCTGCTGGTTCTGTGTCATAGGACCCTTTTAAAACACTGAAGGCACTGTGAATTATTTAAGACAGAGAATAGAAAGCAGGACTGTGCAATTTTACTGAAGCTTTATGTCACGTTCTTACCTGCACTCTGACCACTGCAATCTCCGACTTCAGGGGTTTTGTTCAAAAATGATCAGTACGAGTACATTTTATTTCGGTAAAATGGAATGGCAAAGTCAGAATTAGAGAAACGGTCAAGAAACAGACATTGCAGATGCAGGTTGAGAACTTAGAGGGAGAGTTTCAGTCAACCAGAGAATCCCACACAGACGCCTTCCAGCGATTTTGCCTGTTTGACATCTCTGTGGGAAGTCCTACAGGTATCTTCAACTCACCATATTTAAGATAAGACTGGCTATTCTATTCTTCTCTACATTCTACAACAAGACTAAATCTGTTCCTTTCATCTTGATCTTCTTTCTTGCCTAATGGTGCCGTAATATCCTCCCTTACTGGGGTTCAAAACCTGACTTCCTGTTTCTCTGTCCAGTTACCATGGCCAGTCATTGCTAAGAGACAGAATTACCAAGAAGCAGATGAAGCTTAAACTGTGGAGCCCCTCATACGCATTGGTCTTTTCTGGGGTTCTGGCAGTAGGGTGGGGTGGGGAGGTCAGGCAGGGGAGGCTGTGGGTGTGTTCACAAGGCCGTAGGTTTTGTACAATTTGGAAACTATATTTTAGCTGATGTCTCTTCTGACTCCAACTTTTCCTCTGCCACACTTCCCTTCTTGTCAAATGCCAGTTTGGAGACTGGGCTAAGTTTGAATTGAATTTGAGGATGCATTTATTTGGGTTTAATGGGCTGTATTTATGTGTTTTGAAGGCACTTCTGTTTATATTTGATTAATGTTAGTTGTTCCAGTGTAGAGGATGGCTTCCAGTACACTCCTACACCCATGTGCTCACTTATGTGGCATCATGCCACAAAGAAACAAGGCTAGAAGTGTATCATGCTGTGCAGGTGTGAACGAGGAGTGAGATGTGCATGTGTGGATCAGTCAGTAGAAAGTTTTCCCGTTTTCAGGCATGTAAAATTGGAAGCAGAGGATTCACCTCTCATTGGTACCTGGTCAACATACCAGGTCTGTCCTATCAGAAACATACCCTAAAATGCAATTTACACAATCATGAATGTACTATACTTTTTCAAAGGAGAATAATTCAAAATAGAATTTATCATCCTGTGTTTGCAGGGCACAAACCTGTAGGAGGACTGTAATTAGTGAGCACATCTCCAAGAAGTTGCATGGAAAAGAAACTTAACAGTAAGAATTCTTCAATTTGGAAACAATCCTAGGCTCATGTGGTAGATCATGCCTTTAATCCCAGCACTTTGGGAGGCCATGGCCAGAGGATTGTTTGAGGCCAGGAATTGAGGACCAGTCTGGGTAACACAGTGAGACCTTGTCTTTAGTATAAAAAAAAAACCTTTTAAAAATTAGCCAAGTGTGGTGGTGTGCATCTGTAGTCCCAAGTTACCCAAGAGGTTGAGGTGGGAGGATGGCTTGAGCCTGAGAGGCAGAGTTTGCAGTGAGCTATGATCATACCACAGCACTCCAGCCTGGATGACAGACTGAGATCCTGTCTAAAAAAAAAAAAAACTCTTTCTTTGAAGAGGGTCCCCAAGATGGGTGCGGTGGCTGACGTCTGTAATCCTAACACTCTGGGAAGCCAAGGCAGGCAGATCATGAGGTCAGGAGTTCGAGACCAGCCTGGTCCACATAGTGAAACCCTGTCTCTACTAAAAATACAAAAATTAGCCAGGCATGATGGTGCGTGCCTGTAGTTCCAGCTACTCGGGAGGTTGAGGCAGGAGGATCGCTTGCACCTAAGAGGTGGAGGTTGTGGAGAGCCTAGGCTGTGCCACTGCACTCCAGCCTGGGCAACAGGAGCAAGACTCCTCAAAAAAAAAAAAAAGAGAGAAAGCACCCTAACTATGTAAGCCTCATACCTCAGCAAACTGGGTTCCACCTGTCCCGGCCCTGTGGATTCTTCCTCCACAGTGATTCTTAGTCTGCATTGTTTCCATTTGCCAGCCTCCCCTTTCTTCAGACTTGGTTTCTTTATGTGTGGTCGAGCAGAGTAAGTGCCTGCAGTGATTCTCACCGCACCACCGTCTTCTCCTTGCCCTCATCTGCCCTATTTCCCAACATCAGATTACCCTTATTAATAACACCAAAAAGTACAGCTTATGTGCTATCTGTTAGGTGCCAGGTACTTTATATACACTACCTTTAATTCTCACAGTCACCTAGGAAGTAGGTATTACTACCATTGTACAGATGAGGAAACCAGGACTCAGTGCTTCAGTGACTTGTTGAAGGTCAAAAAGTTACCATGTGACTGCCACAGGATTCAAGCTTAGCTCCTCCTATTCTCATTTGGCTTGGAGCATGTGGCCCTTCTGTACTCTAAAACAGCTTCTCTCATTGCTTCCAGAAAAAACAATTAAAACTTTGCCCTCAACAGTAAGAAGCTGGCCTCTCCCTGTCACCTTTCCTGTGTGTATACCCTACAATCCAGCCAAATCAAGCCCTTGGTGGTTCTTGAATATGGCACATCTTCCCTTGGTATGGAACCTTTCCCCACACACTAACCCCTTCTCTACCTTCTGGAACCCTCAAATACCTGTTTCACGCACCATCCCCACAGTCTCCCAGATGGATGTAATGGCTCCTTCTAAGGCCCCAAAGCACTTCAGCTTTGCCATAAGAGATCATAGCACTTCCTGGACTTCCTTGTATTAAGGAACAAGGACATCATCTTTAAATGGTTGCAATTGTCTCATTGTACATGTAGTTTGCTCATTCCATTCACTGTCATAGACTTTTCCCATACTTCTGCATAGTCAGCAATTTCCATGTTGAACAGTTACATGACATTTTATTTTATTGACATAGCTGATTTAAGTATTTCTCTACAGAGATTTTTGGTTTCAGGTTTTATCTGTGTTTTTGTTGCTGTTTGCTACTGTGAAAGTCAGCATTGGAGAGAACATCTTTGGAATATAGAATTATTTACTCTAGACAAAACTCTAGAAGTGGCATTACTAAATCAAAGTGCATGGACATTACTCATATAACTCTGTTGCTTTCCAAAGGTTTGCATAATTTACATTGCAACTAACAGTACGTGATTGTACTAGTTTCATCTTGCAGGCTTGGATGATATTATTTAATTTTTTGGTTTTTGCCATCCCTTTGATTTTTTTTTTTTTTTGAAATTGAGAGTCTTTTGATTAGGGTCAGAGGGAAAGAGAAAAACCAGATGAATTATGTGAAGAAGATTACTTTAAAAATTGTAATTTTAAGATGAATGATGAAGAAAGGATACATGAAGGGAAAAATCTATGACTAATTTGGTACAAATTGTTAAAATGATTTGATGCATAAATTTATCATCTTCAAACCCATATAATTCTTACCTGACAACAAGGTTCAGTTGGATGATTGGCTGAAGATTTGCAGATGCAAATATTACCACTATGCCAGATGTGTAATTGGATAGTCACTGCTAATTAAATGAGACAGGAAATTAAAAGGGTCCAGGAGATAATTGATTCTCCAAATTAGTAACTCAATTGGTCAAAATTACAATACCTGTTGAAGTTACTTTAAATTATACTCTACTAGTAATTAGAGGCTTTGCCTCATGGTCTATGAAATATTTCCCTTTGCTGATGAAGTACTAAGGGACTGGTAATTTCGGCAAATAAATGATGATTGCCTGATCAAAGTCATTAAATTAATATAAATGTAATGGTAGTAAATTCTCTGATAAAAGAAAACGGTTTAAAATCTCTGTAGGGAGGTAGCCAAAAATATATTCTGCAAATATTTGGATACATTTTCATAAGGTCCAGCAACCCATTCCATTTTGCAGATTGGCTTGATAGGTTCATAGACTCATCTTTTTTCTTTTACTATGGCAATAAGTAATTGTGTCTATTCCATGCTTTTGTCATACCTAATTGCCACTTTATTGTTCCCAAAGGGCAATTGGAAGAAGACTTTTAAAAAGCTAAATTAAAATGACTAATAAGGATTAAAAGAAGAAACCCAGAGGTTGCAGAGCCTGTTGAAGCCTGACGCTATTTCCTAGAGTTATATTTTAAGGTAGTTAACAATAAGTCTCATAGTCACATGTTGTTGAGAGCGTAATTGTGCTTTCTTGAGATCTAAACGTTAAGAACCATATATTCACCCTCATTATGACATTAGGAGCATGTTCTGAGTCTCAGATACCTTTCGCCAAACTTTCAAATCCAACACTGTCATTCATTAGAAAGGAAAAATTGTCCTGATGTAAAGCAGGGTCCACAAAGAAAAATGAGTCTGAAATAGAAACAGTTGCTTTACACACTGGGAATTCCAGTTGATTTAAGTGCAGCACTTAGAATGTGATAAGATTGCTGGCATCTTTGTAATGGTGGCTCCTGGTTGCTTTATAGAAAAGAAGGTTATGTCCCAGTCTATGTACCTGTGAACAGACGTATCTGGGCAGCACTCATTTTTTCACTAACAAGGAACATTTTAAGTACATACTAATTGCAAGACAAGTTCTGCATTAATGATGCTGTGGGATAGATGAATAATTTGGCTGCCTTGAACACAAGATATAGTCTTATTTTGTTTGTTTGTTTACTTCCAGCCCTCTGGAACATGCAAACATTGCCTAAAAGTATAACACTCTATTGCTGCAAAAGCAATGTAAAAAACACAATTTTTGGAATTTTTTTAACAAAGCAGATTTCTTCTGGATGCTGGGTAGAAGCATCTAGGAAGGAGGTTGTGAATTGCTGAGTGTAGAACTTACGTAGATTTAGTGAATCTGAACCATAATCATTACAGATCCAGTTGGTGTGCCCCAAGTAAAACACAAAATTGTATTTTAAAGGGGTGAGTAGATGCTTTAAAAATGTTTTCAAAATAAATGTCCTGAATGTCAGTTTGGTTTCTGAGTTAAATTGCTTCTAAATGACCTAGTTCTAAAGTCACATTTCAAAGCTTCGGGAAACTCTGTCTGGGGCCTGTCTAGACCTCAGAATTGGCCTGGTTTGTTTTAAGGTTTCACCAAGCCTGCTGGGTTTGCCTATTTCCAGGGCAGAGGCATGTGTGAGACGTGACGCAGCTTTCTAAGGTACTGTTTTGTTTTGTTTCTTCATTATACCCTGTATGAAAAAATAATTTTATAAAGTAATGTCATGGTTTATTTCATTTATATAACATGGAAATTGCATTCTTCTTTGGCTTTGGAGCTTCTTAAGTGAAAAGGGTCAAAGTGGTAGATTCCAACCAATGATCCAGTGGTATCAGAGAGCTGGGTTCTACTCTGACACCATAAATAACACACCGTGGAACTCTGGAAACTCAACCTCTTGGGACCTCACTTCTAAAATGAGGCATTTGGAAAATAAACTCTCTATAGTTTCTTTGGTTCTTTGTTTCTATGATATTACAAAGAGTGCTGGCAGGTTTTCTAAATTTTATTGTATGCTATGTATTTTTCTAGAAAACAAACCAAAAATTCAGCACTAATTATATACTAGACAAAGCTAAGACTTAGAATGGAAATAGCAGCTGGGCAGTCATGAGTTAGTAAATAAGGGTTTGTGGAGATTCATAATCTCATGCAGTTGGGTCACTGAGTCAGGCAGGGTTGTTCAACTGTTACAATTGGTGTGATGAAGGACTCAAGCTAAATATACATTTTTAAAACATAGACATGCTTTGGGTTTTTTTAAAAATAGAATTTTGGAAAATACTAGAAACATTGATGAAATCAATTAGCTCATACCCTAGCAGTTCTGTGTTGCATGCATTTGACAGGGTGGAACATTCCTAAATAGGTATATTTAAGCCCATGTCAAGGCTGGATTGTGTAATGGTCTGGCATGTGTGACTTCTGCGTTTCTTTAATTACTGCTTCGTGCAGCACCTGCATTAAAAGTGCAGCACTGTGGGTCTAGTGAGCCTGCCTCACACTGAAGGGATGGAGGGGATCGCTCATGTCTGGTGCATGATCCTTTTGAGTTGGACAAAGCAAATGGGTCAGTCATTGGGGAGGTTGGAGCAGTGGGCATCCCATACTGGACCCTGTCATTCCAGTCAATAGGGGTGTCCCCTCAACCGCAAAAGCCATTCACACAGCAGCGGTGACCAAGGAGTTTCACCGCACACCATGATGCTACTAATTCTGACATCTCCATCCTAATGTATGTGGCTCTCACTGTGTGAGAATATAGCCTCATTTAAAGAGAGACAGACTGGCAGTCTTCACTTAGGGAAGATGAGAAGAACTTTATTCAGGTAAGTAAGAAAGGCCACCCTTTCACCTTGAACATTACACAGACTCATTGGCTAATTGTTCAACTCTCTTCTTATAGACTAATTTGGTGGTATGAATTTTCTCTCAAAATGTATCATTGAAACTCTGTCTCATCAAAGAATTGACTATCGAATTAAGGCTGAATGAAATCTGTGAAAGTAGTGTTTTACTTTTTGTAAAAAATTGAGGTGAAAGTCACATAACTATTTTAAAGTGTACAATTCGGTGGCATTCAGTGCATTCAAAATGTAGTGCAGAGACCACCTCTCTCTAGTTTCAAAACTCTGTTATTACCACAAGAGAACACCCCATAACCCACTGAGTAGTTACCCCTGTTTGCCCCTTTCCCCATTTCCTGGCAACCATGAATTTACTTTCTGTCTCTGTGGACTTGTCTATTCTGGACATGTGTTATATCTTGAGGAGCTGCTTTTACTCCCAGGTATTCACCTCCCACAGGATGTGAAGGAAGAGAGCAGGCACCTGCGGCCCCGTGATTATTAAATCACTACCTGTTGGGACCTCCTGCGTCCTTCTGCCTGAGGTACAACCACCTTCAGACCACAACAGGCTGTGGCCCAGCTCCAGGAAGGCTGCCTTGCAGCTCAGCCCAGGAGGAAGAATGATGTCCATTTAGAGTTCCAGGAAAGGTATAAGTAAGCCTGAAGAAAATGATTTTAGTTGGAATTTGGCCACATTCAAGGGCTAATTAATGAGGATTATGAACAAAGTGAGGAATGTGCTCTTGGCTGCCACTGAGTTATCAATGCAGTAAAGCATGGCCTGCGAGTTTCCTAACCTCTGCAGAAGGACGCCCTTGTGCTCCATCCAACATATTGAACTTGTTAAGTGCTGAAGAAAGCTGGACTCTTGGAAAAGGATGTGGAGTCTTTTATTCACTCACTGGATGGTTGGTGCTTAAATCTATGGGAGCCTGGACCTGTGATGCTTAATCTTAAATCTCGGAGGGTGGTGTGGTTGGTGTGCTCTGTTAGGATGCCATTCTGAGGCTTCAAAAAGCAACAGAGGAGATCACCCATTCCCTCTCCTGATTGGGAGAGTTACCAATCTCACAGTCGAAGTGAAAATATTAATATTTCTAGACACATGCAAAATGAGAAAAAAATTGTGGACTAAGCAGCTCTGACGGCTTGTTTCTCTCTCTCTCCCTCTTTCTCTCTTTTTTTTTTTTAGGAAACTGAGATCTGAGAGGCTTGTTTCTTCATTAAGTATTTTCCACACCTGGGAACTCTAGGAATGCTATCTGGGAAGAGAAAGAGAAAATGGGGAAAATAACAAAAAATGGAAAAATCCTTTTCCCCACAGGCATCATTTTTCAGTAAGTGAAAAAATTTCCAAATATCTGTCTGTTTCAAGATCCATTTAAGCAATCCTAATCATCTCACTCCGTTTCCTTATTCTAGAGCCTAGTCATTTTTTCCCCTCTAAAGTTAAGTAGCAAGTTGCATTGCATATAAAAATGCATGAGTTTTATTCAAAATCTGTGACTTATTTTAGGCAGGCCCTTTCTTTATTCACATAAAGTAGCTTTATGTATACACATTTAAAAATTGCCAACCCATGATTTTTTAAAAAGTCACTTACCTCCCCTACTAAAATTAGGTCCAGATAATACAATAAATAAAACTCTATTCTTTGCCATCTAGTTTTTAAAATTGGGCAAGAGTGAGTGTTTACTGAAATTTGTTCTACTGCATGGAGCATAATACGGTTTTAAGAGAAAAGGGGGACAGTCCAAGCAAATGGGAATGTAGTCTGTTTTCCTGCTCTTGAATTGGAGGAATTATTTTGCATTTCCTTAAAATCTAGAAGTAACTGGTGCATGTTAGGAATGGCTGTGTGTTGGGCAAGAGGGAGAGGAGAGGAAGAGGAAGAAATGGAAGAAAGGAAAAGAGAAGAGGAGGGAAATGGCCATCTATAGGGAGTTCCCTAAGCAAGGCCAAGACAGTGCAGATGAGTATCTGGGCTGGGCGTGGTGGCTCAATGCCTGTAATCCCAGCACTTTGGGAGGCCGAGGCAGCTGGATCACCTGAGGTCAGGAGTTCGACACCAGCCTGGCTAATATGGTGAAACCCCATTTCTACTAAAAATACAAAAATTAGCCAGGCATGGTGGCAGGAGCCTGTAATCCCAGCTACTTGGGAGGCTGATGCAGGAGAATCGCTTGAACTTGGGAGGCAGATGTTGCAGTGAGCCGAGAGCGAGACTTCATCTCAAAAAAAAGAAGTATCTGAATACAGAAAAGCTTATTGGAGGTTCATGACCAACTCCCTCACTGGGCATCCCTCCAGGTAGGGGTTTGGTGGAAGGCAGAGTTTCATGGGTGTGCGACCTGTGCAGCCTGTGCTCAGAAGGCCCACACTCGGTTTAGGACTCAGATGCCACCCTCTTGAAATTCTTAAGAATCTAGTTTTGGAACTTGTGTCTGTACATGAAGTCTGATGGGACTCAGAGCACATGCATGGGCAGAGGGGACACATGCGATGTTCATGTTTGCTGTTCCTTACCACCTCATTTGCATAAAGAACCCATGATGCTTCATGAGCACAAAATTTCAGTGGTTCCACAATGCGTGAGAATTTAACAAGACTCAAAAAGAGCAGGTGTGAAAAAAGGGAAGTGTGTGATGCCTACAACTGAGTGAGCCAGGCAGCAGAAAGCCCTACGAGACCATGAGGAAACTTGCTTTCCAGAATATGCTTCAAATGCAGGAAGAAGTAGTGGAATTCTGAGAAACACAAATGACCAAGGAACCCTATGACATCCTTTCTTATTCATGTTGTTTCCCTGTAATAGTCACCACTTATGCTGGAAAATGACATAAAAGGAAAGGGAAAGATAGGGCAAATCATAGTTTGCTTTCCTTTCAGACCCCCCCTTACTCACCAGTAAGCCAAAGCTAGAGGGTTGGCAGAATATGCACTTACCAAGCAGCGAAAGACTAGCTGAGATAGTTTTGCGCAGAGTTTTCACTGTTCTGTAGAGAACAGGATACATATGCATATATGAAGTATGAAATGTGAATGGTGCAATTTTGGCGATTCTGCATACAAGTTAAATGTTCCTATATTTGCATTTATAATTGATGTTGAACAATATAAAAATGAATAGTAAAATTCATGCTAATAATTTTAATTTAAATTTTTTCTTTCTTTCTTTTTTTTCTTGAGATGAAGTTTTGCTCTTGTCCCCCAGGCTGGAGTGAAATGGTGCTATCTCGGCTCACTGCAACCTCCTCTTCCCAGATTAAAGTGATTCTACTGCCTCAGCTTCCCGAGTAGCTGGGATTATGGGCGCCCACCACCACGCCTGGCTAATTATTTGTATTTTTAGTAGAGACGCAGTTTTACCATGTTGGCCAGGCTGGTCTTGAACTCCTGACCTCAGGTGATTCACCCACCTCGGCCTCCTGGAGTGCTGGGATTACAGACATGAGCCACTGTGCCCAGCCCTAAAATTTTTCTTTAACACAACATCACATAGCCAATAAGAACACACTAGGACAACTCAAGAGACTGGGGAAGAAAGAAAAAACCTTTATTATTTAGTATCTTTAACAGTGTTTCCCCTGCTTTTTAAAAAAAGGGCCCCATATTTTTACTTTGCACTGGGCCCCACGAATTCTATAGCTGGCCTAGGGGAAAGTGTGCAGGTGTGATGCTGGAGTCAGGCAGGAGGTCGGGGGCTGGAATTGTAAAGCTGATCTGGTTATATTTTAAAAAACAACTCTGAGTACCTTCATAAGGTGTCTTTCTTTTCTTTTCTTTTTTGAGAGGGAGTCTCATTCTGTCACTCAGGCTGGAATGCAGTGGTGCCATCTCTGCTCACTGCAGCCTCAACCCCCCAGGTTTAAGCAATTCTCCTGCTTCAGCCTCCTGAGTAGCTGGGATTACAGGCGCCACCACACCCGACTAACTTTTGTATTTTTAGTAGAGAGGGGATTTCACTGTGTTGGCCAGGCTGCTCTCAAACGCCTGACCTTGTGATCCGCCTACCTTGGCCTCCCAAAGTGCTGGGATTAGAGGCATGAGTCACCGTGCCCAGCCCTTCATTCTTAATAATTTCTCTTAAAATCAAATGATACGGGTTGGCTGTGTCTCCACCCAAATCTGATCTTGTATTCCCACGTGTTTTGTATTCAATTACCAGTTGGAGTTAATTGAATCATAGGGGCAAGTCTTTCCTGTGATATTCTCGTGATAGTGAATAAGTCTCACGAGATCTGACGATTTTAAAAAGAGGAGTTCCCCTGCACAAGTTCCCCATGCCTTCTGCTACGATTATGAGGCTTTCTCAGCCACACAGAACTGTAAGTCCAATTAAACCTCTTTCTTTTGTAAATTGCCCAGTCTCGTGTATATCTTTAATAGCAGCCTGGAAACAGACTAATACACCAAACACCATGCTTTTGAAGAGCACTCCCGCCCCTGGTATATTTCTGGGCGATAAGCCCGTTTTGCATATGAGAACAGTGAGTCCCAAGGAGTGGCCTGCCCTTGGCTTCTGTTCCCAGGGCGAGTGTGAGGGCTGAGCTCTTCCCTTCCCTCCGTTCCTTCCATGGAGCTTGGCTGGTTCCTATGAACACCAGGTGGAAGTTCGTTATTTTATAGTCCATTAAACAATCTTTTACAAAAATCTAAAAAAGTAATAATGTGAACGTAAACAAAAAGCTAATGTAAAAAGGTTAAAAAATATTTTGGTGACTTTTTTTTCAAGGTCTAAAAACCACAATCAGATATTATTATAATTTTGGGTGTCATTGATCATATCTTACATTTGTTTTTGTATTTATAACTCTGTGGGATTTACCAATCTTAGGGCTATAATACTGTTTATAACATAAGTGGAAGCTGTTTCCCAGGTTTGATTTGTTAGTCTTCTCTTCTATTGTTAATTTATTGGTTTGTTCTATGTATTTTGCAAAATCCAAACCTTGAGAAACAAGGCTTGACAATTTAGCTCCATATACACTTTAAAACTTAAGAAATGGTGAGATGTGTTTCATTTATATTCTTTATTATTCATTTGACTTACAAAGTATATAGGCATGGAAATTGCCTGTCAGTTTTACTACTGAAAGCCTCAGCTACTCTTACTTAAGATTAAAGTCATTCTTTTTATAATCACTCACTTTCTTCCAAGAAAATTCTCTGTGTGGGGGGAAATATTCGATGGAGAAGTATTTTGTGCGGACTTCCAACCCTTTATCCTAGGTCATAGTAGGATGTTAAGTCAGGAAATGACATATCGGGGCAGGAATCAGTTATGCTTCCTCCCAAGTCTATTTTAAAGCACTTTCCATTTTAAATATAGCAATAAAATATCAGCCTCGAAGTGTCTGATAAGGATAAAAGCAATAGATCCAAATCCAATCTAAATCTGACACTGCTAGGAACAAGAATTCACATTGGTAAGTCAGGGCTCATTTATGGGGCCATAAATGGGTGGGCCGGCTATAATTTGGGTATTAAACTTGTAAAATATATTGATGGTATGGAGGAGCTAAATAAATAATTTACTACAAAAAAAATTGGAAATCTTTACATGGTACTTAATTGTACCAGTTGGTCTCCCAGATTCTCAATGCTCCTTGCTTTGCGTTTATGTGTTTTTCACAGGCTAGATTTTCCTTTTCCTCACTTGAGTTTAATTTCCCTCTGCAATGAATGATCACAAGTTAGTGCGTTTCTGAAAACACACAGTTTCCATTTAAAATTTTGCCAATCCATTACATGCCTTTGACAATTTCATTTACCTTTTAGGAGGATAAATGTACCCCCTCGTTCTGTCTGCTCCAAGATCAGTCTTTCTGGCCCCAAAAAGCCTTTTCAGTACCACATCTCAGATTCCTGTGCCAAGCACAGAATGGGAGGGGCTTCAAGTAGATGCTTTAAGAAAATTTACTGAATCTTTTTGCCTGGTATTTTGGGAATCTGCTGAATAGAGAGAAAAATGATTTGAGAAAGCTCTGTCGTGGCCTCCCACACATCTATGAGGTGCTAAGTGTGATTGGGGAAGGGAAAGGAGAATGAACACATGGAGACTCAAACTAAG